AAGAGGAATAAAAAAATACGGTACTTTTAAAGCACCCCGCCTCCCCTGCAGAGCTGCGACAAGTTAGTTTCAAAAAGTCTTAAATCTTCAGTCTTAAGTAATTTCTAAAATCAAAATAAATTTAAATCTTAATCAAAGACTCTTAATTCAGTTTCAAGTTTCAACATAAAGTCTGTTGTCTCTTTCCCAACCCTGGCGGACATGTACGTGAGTATGTTTGTGTATATTCGGCATGCGTGTCTCCTTTATGTATTTGAGAGTAACAGGTAGTTTGAATAGCACATACCGAAAGGGCAGAACGGATGCTGTAGATGGACCGACCATTCATTTTTCTGCTTTTTTTTTCTTCTTTCATCTACGTACCGGTTTAAAGTACCACCATCAAGGCTCGTTGGGCGATAAAGCAAGCAAACCGACAATAATACAGACTTCTAATTATCGGAATTACTTAATATAACAACGAGCAACAGAGATCTACAGGATGTTGTTATGTATATAAAGATGTTTACTCTACTTGTGTGTTCGAGGAGGACTTGGTAGTGTTTGATCACTACATTCCTGAGAAGAAACCAAGTGATAATATTATATTTTAGTCACTTCTTTCATTGAGCTTCCATCATTCACAAAAATAATCGTAAAAGGTTTTAAAGGATAATTTTTTTTTCATTCGACTATGCATTTCCTCACCACGTGTATAGAAACTTTTTTTCATATTTTTTGATGAGGAATCAATAAGCCAGATAATTACATTAAAAAAATTTAAAGGTTATTGCTATGAAACTTTGATTAAGGCAAATTAATATAATTGCTTTTATCTCATCAGGGAGGCCCATATCGACAAAATATCAAGAGCAAGAAACAATTTTTAATCGGCATCAAACAGTCTACACAATTTTTAGTAGCGCAAATATTTTGTAGAAAAATATTCCATTGGTAACCCAGATGCACGTCTCTGATGAAAATTTCGGCTGTTTCTAATATTGCACTCTTATCCTCAAAATTTCATTCGAATCGCAAAACGCACTTGTAAGAAAATTATAATAAATCGAAAAAAAATAAGACCCCTGCAGCTTTTGAAACACCTCTCGAATTTAGGACAACCTGTACAAAAAAAGAACTTTTTTACTGATTCCGCAACTTAAACAACTATTTTCAGCAAAAAAAAATACCACAGAGCAACTGCCTTTACAAAGTTCGACGTAAATAACGAAGAGGTCAAGAAACAAGATACACCAAAGTACGTAGAAAATAATCTAATAATACCAAATGGCAAAATTAAAAAGTCCCACCAAAGATGAGATAAATTAGGATAAAGATCATGTTTTGTTACAAACCTTGGCTTATTCAAGACGAAAGATAGCATTTCAGAGAAATATACCACTTTTTGAAAAATAAAGAAAACCTTAATTAGGTATTTGAATGGCCGCAAAATCACAGGTCTTTAAAATTCCTGATGCGTATTAAGATGTGGACCATTCGTTTTCCTTAACTATACTTAAAGAGAAAGATTTATCTGTAAACGTGTATGGTTTGGGTTAACAGGTAGATTGACCAAGACATTTTGAAAAGCTAGGGGTCCTTTCTATTTCTCTTTTCTAGAAATTTCAAAATAGACAATTAATTTTCATTCCTTGTGGCAAAAACAGCCGACAGATAAAGAAAGGTAACTTGAGAATTGGAAAATAACCACTTTCGAAAATATTCATTACAGTAGTAATTATACAGGGTGGCCTAGTAATTCCAAAAAAGCGTCATATCAGGTTTCGGATTTTTCGGAAATTTTGTGACAAATCCATTAACCAAAAAAAATAATATACAGGGTGGCGCCTCTCATACGCCGCGGAGGCTCCAAAGAGAACGAGTTTTGTATTAAAATGAAATTTTGTGAGCATATGTAGGTTAATTCAAAGCACTTTTTAAAAATATAGAGAGTTGTTAAGGGTGTCCCCAAAAAAGTTACATATGAAAGTTGTGTTTTTTGTAATGGAACACCCTATATATTAATTGATTTTCGGATTCTGGGAGAAAAATAAAGGTGAGTTTTATAAGAGAAGTATATGACTAAAATATAAGGTTTTTGACATATTTAACATTTTCTAGAAATAAAGAACTATTATTTTTAAATTACAATAAAAGCTACCTAAATTGGAATTTACCCGGTATAGCCTAATATGTAGTTAAATTTACTATTGTACTTTAAATCAAATTAAAACTTGATCCAAAAAGTTATACAGGGTGAGACAAAATTAATAATGAACATTGGGTCACCTTTAAAAGCATGTTACTCTTTTTTTTTTAAATGGAACACCCAGTATATTATTCCGATATTCAATGGAGAATTTAATATTATTATTATTTTATGTCTCTTCAAAATACTATTAAGGTTGGCTACCTCTCAAACAAAGATTTCCCTAGATATTTCCATTTTCATGATTTGATCTGAGTAGATCTTTATTATTTAATAAAATCTGGGAGGTTGTGATATGTCTGTCGTTACGTCAACATAGCTGTTTAATTAGTCGAACTTTAACAACTAGTTATCATTTTGTGCCAGTTAAAATAAAAAATTTCTCAGAAATTTGCCGAAAATGCAAACTTATCCTAGAGAGAATCATCAGAGAGAATTGATATGATTCTATTAGTTGATGAATTCAGTGTGCATTCACCAATTAATAGGATATTTAAATGCTCCTGATTTTATCTAGTTATGTTTTTTATGGGAATATGTTAAAGACAGTGTTTACAAAACCAGACCAACTATTGTCGACAACATGTGCTTTTTAAAATGTAAAGATCCTTTTAAAAAGACAATCATTTTATGCAGTTAACAGGAAAGGAAGCATTTTGAGCATTTCATTTCATTTAGCTAATTTTTGTCACATAATTATAGGTTTATATCTAGTTTTAATTGTGTAATAATTAAAATATGTTTTATAAGTGTATCTTTTTATTACCGTTGAGTATTTTACTCTACAATCTTTAATTTTTGTTAAATTAACAAAATGTATATCATAGCCACCCTAGATTTTTTCAAATAATAAAGATCTACTGAAGCAAAATTACAAAAATTAAAATATCTAGGAACCTTAATAATATTTTGAAGATATATAAATTCCCCATTGAACTCCGGAGTAATATACTGGGCGTTCCGTTTAAAATAAAGGAGTAACTTGCTGTTAAAAGTGACTAATGTTCCATATTAATTTTGTCTCACCCTGTATAACTTTTCTGGTCAAATTTCAATTTGGTTTAACATACAATGGTTACTGTAATTAAATATCAGGAAGTACAAGATCAACTAAAAGTTAGGTAGCTGTTATCGGAATTTAAAATTTACTCTTCATTTTCACAAAATTTGAAATATGTCAAAATCCTTAGATTTTAGGTATAAGGTTCGTTAATAAAACTCACCTTTATTTTTTTCCTAGAATCCGAAAATCAATTAATATATAGAGTGTTCCATTAGAAAAAACAAAACTTTGATGTGTAACTTTTTTTGGAGACACCCTGTATAATTCTATAAATATATATATTTATAAAATGCTTTCAGTTAACCTGCATATGCTGCCAAAATTTCATTTCGATAAAACTGCCGTTCTCCTTGGAGCTTCCACGGCGTATGAGAGGCGCCACCCTGTACAGCATTTGATTTAAAAACCACTACCACCATGTTGATTCAGCAGAACAGTTAGTAATAAAAGTACATGTGAAAATTCTTAATGCTATGAAAGTATTTGGAAACAGGTCTTGAGCGTTTTTTTTCATAAACGTTGGTTTTGCTGACTTAATGCATTTTATAAATTCACGAAAATGTATTAATTCATTAGGCATTGACTCATCTAAATCATTTGGATAACAGGTTATTAAATGCCTGGACTTATCATTAATGTCATCAATACTTAAAGTAGATAAATCACTAAAGAGAAAAACCAAATTTGGTTGAAAAGTCATTGTAGGCACTTTTCCTATAGGAAATTTCAAGGATTAATTTATCAATAATAACAGTAAATACATTTATCATTTATCCTAAAATCGTCCCTAGCGTTAAATAGAGTTTCTTTATCACTGGTTTCATCAAATTGTCGTTTCCGTTTCACTTTTCTCTTTTTATCTGCCGCATATTCTTTCTCACCGAACAATTCTATGGCCCTTCTTTCATTTTCCTCAAATGATTTAGTATTATCTAGATTTCTAATTTCAGAAAAATATTTTTCCAATGAGCTATATAAATCTGCAGCAAGTTGTAGATCAATATCCACTATTTGAAGCTTTTTATTGACCGCATCTAATCTATTTAAAACGTCTGTCCAAAATACCGCCATAAAACCCATTTCTAGGCTTTTGAATTGTTTAAGGAGACTAGAAGCATCTAATCGGGTTTTAGGCTTTTCGGTATCGTCTTCAGAAATTGACTCCCACGTGGATTTTATTTCATTGGAAGACAAAGATAGTGATTGGCAAGCTTCATTTTGTGCAGACCAACGTGTTTTTAATATATTTTTTAATGTTTTTGAATTTATTTTTTTATATTCGAGGTATTTCTGTATTTATTAACTGGAGGCATGGCACAATGCAGTAAAAAATAACCCAAGCGAATTATATATTTAAACAATAATAATAGTTAAGTAAATAAATATGTAATCGGCTAAGGCTATATTCGAAATATTTTATGAACAAATAAAAGTTAAAAAAAAAGATAAATATTTTGGTATTCTCAAAATTTGCCACCCCTAAAAATCTGCCGCCCCAGGCCCGGGCCTAGTTGTCCTAGGCTTAAGTCCGGCACTGGTAGTATGAAGAAAAATTTGAAACATTAAAAAATCGGATTTTTTTGAACGTGTAGTAGAAGCTTTCAGATCACCCTGTGTTTATTTAAACTATTTTTCTACTTAAAATAATACACATGATATTATCGTAAAACTATATAGCCAAGGAAAAATTGTTTTACGCTCTGCAGAATTTCGCAGTGCCCCATTATAAGTAAATTATATTCCACTTACCGATAGCTGGTCTTTATTTATACTATTGTCCGTATAATACACTAAAACGCTGACTGCCAAAGGTCTAGTTTCGCGCAGCTTAGAAGCTAAGAGCATGCACGCAGTACCGAGCAGCTGCAGCTGAGTCTTTTTTATCGCACAACACATTAAAAATCGGTCCATATAGTTCGTTGCTAAAGAGAACACTTCGTCTTGACACTTTTGTTCTTCACACACCTGCAACAAAAACAATTTAGCTATTAGTATTTTATATTAATAGATAAACATCCCCAACTTAATAGTTTTTCTAATAAATATTATCACAGACATAATATCTAGTAGGTTTGTCTGGTATATCCCGACTTTTTTTATTTACATAGAATGCCAAACACTTGCTAATTATTCGCATGTTTTTTTGTCTAAATCAAATGATAATTTATGACATATTTCATAGACCATTCTTTTTTTCGAAAATGAGCTAGATACTTAGTGATAATCGAAGTGATAATATAAATTCACAATGGTAAATAAATTAAAAAGAAGTACCGGGTGGCCAACTAAGAATGGACGCCGGCTGTATCTCAGAAACTAATTACCGTATAACTTTGGGAAAAAAATTCTTATAAGTAAATCGACCAAGAGAAATCGCTGGAAATTATTTTCAAGTTCGAAAAAAGTCCACTAGGGGTCGTTTCTCTTATAGCCAATCAGAAAACCGGGGTTTTATCAAAAATATGCAGGTGAACAGGTATTTTAAATATTACTATAGTACTAGTATTTTGCATTATCTCATAAAATAAAGTGGTGGGCGAAAGTTAAACTTGCTTTTATTAAAATAAGGATAACTCTGGTTTGGGTTAGCCGATTTAAACAAACTAGGGCTCGTTTAAAAGAGCTTTTCTTCCTTAATGATCTCCAGTATAAATTTTGTTTTTAAATTTTTTTTCGTGGTGGCTAGAAGGCGCTGTTTGACATCATAACAGTTATTACGCTTTTGCATAAAAAATTTAAATAGGAGGCTATATTTATCTTTACACAGTTAAACAGAGCACAAAATTTCCAAAATATCAGCGCAAACCGCAACTTTCTACCTTCTTTCTAACCGGAGATATTAAGAGAACAAATCATGTTAGGTTGCCGCTTAGAAAAGCTCTTTTAAACGAGCCCTAGTTTGTTTAAATCGGCTAACCTAAATCAGAGTTATCCTTATTTTAATAAAAGCAAGTTTAACCTTCCCCCACCACTTTATTTTATGAGATAGAGCATACTCTATATCAAAAAAATTATAAATTTCTCGATAATTACAAGTAATATTTAAAATACCTATTCACCTGCATATTTTTGATTGATTTTCTGATTGGCTATCAGAGAAACGCCCCCTATAGCGGACATTTTTCGAACTTGAAAATAATTTCCAGCGATTTCTCTTGGTCGATTTACTTATAATAATTTTTCCCTAAAGTTATACGATAAGTAGTTTCTAAGATACAGCCGGCGTCCATTCTTAGTTGGCCACCCAGTACATATTATATTCTATTTTTATAACAAGATTAATTTTTTGAGATATTTTAGACTTCTATCGTTGATTGATCGAGAGATGCGCAATCTTATAGGCGATTTCGTGGCACAAAACATGTCCGAGATGTAGCTGGCATTACCGTCAGCCTGTCCGAGAACTCTGAGATTTAGCTTAGTTCTGCGCCGCTTGCCGCTTAGAATGCTGCGCTGACAGTCGTTTACAGAGTAGCGAATAAAGAATAATGTACTGTAGTTCTGCTTTTAGTTGACAGAGTGGTTGCCGGAGACAGTATTGCCAGAACTACGATTAACGCAGATTTAAGGATTTTGGGCACAGTACATTAATAATAAGGATTTCCTATCATTAAATAATTTAATATAATATTATATGAATAAACAAAGAACGGTATCAGATTTGGCTTGCAAATGAAGATCGCTGTTATTTTATATGTAAAATATTATAGTAAATGTCAATAATCGTTATTTCCAAGCCAACTAAAGGACTTTTTTCGATTATACGACATATTCAGTACCTATAAAAGACATTTTATTTTTGTTGTTTATTTTATGTTTAACACGAATACATTTTTAATACATAAACGCGGATTTTTCATCTAAAGATATTTTCGTCAAACGTATTACAGATATACACATTTTAATGTGGCAACACTGTCGCTTTCAGATCCACAACGTCTTCGATATGCCTTCGCTGACCGAATTAGAAAAAATAAGTGTTTTGTGCGTTGACCGCAGAATGATTGGTGTCTCCACCGTACAGCACTTGAGGCGTAAGGGGAAATCAAGTCAGCCTTGTCACGAATTCGCTCATTAGGTTGGGTATCTTCCCAATTCTTTCAATTGACGCTTCTATATTATTATATAGAAAGTACTTAAACATTTTTATCATTATATCATATTGTTTTGTAAAATGGCTATTTCATAACTAGATTTAGCATTGGCCATGGGTATTTCTAATAGTTATTAAGCCTACACAATACATTTTAGACGGCCATAGTAAAACTGATCTTCTAAATAAAAACATAAACAACACAAAAAAAACAATACATTATCTAGGTAGAAAGAAAATTTCAATCACTTAGGTATATAAATCTAATTTGCACCTAGCTGCGAAATAAAGAAACAGTTTTAAAACTACCATAAGGATATTAGAATTAAAAAAAGAACAGAAAAAATTCTACTGTTATCCAAAATTTCAGTTTAGTATCTAAATTTCTCTAGTAGATATAGATGTTTCAATAATTATTGTCATAATATTATGATCAATATATGTTATTTATGTTGTTAATTATTTTTTGTGTGTTTTGTTTTGTATGTTTTAAGAATACATATTATAATGCTATATCAAAAATATTTAATATAATTTTTATCCATATGCTATATCGATATTAATAAAAATTATGTACATCCCTAATATAAGAATAAACACTTTGTCCCGCATTGAAGAAGCTTCATTTTTTTTATATTTTTGGGCTAAGACATTCTAAAAGAAATATCGTATGGTCGAATAAAAACGGCGTCAGCTATGGCTATGAAATAAAGATCGCTGTCAGTTTATATGTAAAATTATATGGGAAATGTCATCGAGTCAAGTTTCATTACGTATTACAAAAAATGACATACATTTAAAGTATTCTCCAATTATCCAAATGAATTCACAACAATATTTGTAGATATTTTTATGAAAATATCCACAAATGTTGACTGATAAAGTACTGAAGTATCAAGTGTCAGTATTACTCAACATGTACTATTATTGCACATACCTACATTAATATGTGGAATAATTATTGGACAGGATAACTGTATTCGGTACGATACGGTCAAATTTTAACCAATCGAGTTAAAAAAACCGTGCGTTTAAATTCAAGGCCGCTCGATACTAGACCAGAAGATTTTCCGCAGAGTCCACCGAAGACCGTCTATGTGCTAAAAATAGAAAACAAAATGGAGGTCGCAGTTTTCCGATGAAGCACATGAAGAAGAAGAAGAAGAAGAAGAAGAAGACAAAGAAGAGAAGAACGTACATTCCATTGAATAGTTGACTTTAAAATGACAACATATTTTTTGCACTAATAGTCTATTACTGTCAAATACTATATACTAATACTATAGCAAGTGAATTAGTTTTTCAATGAATAGATTTAGTGCTTTTATCTTCATAGAAACTCGACCAAATGTCATTTAAAACCACTTTACAGGGTGGCACAATCTGAAGTATCTCTTATCAATGAAGTTGAAAAACAGGAATTGGTGCATTTCCGCAGAAAAATGCTCGTCACATACTATTCAAAAAGGCGTAATAATAATAATAGCTCCCGTATATAGCGTTTAACGCCTTGGGAGTAGCAAGGTACAGCTTGCTATACTAGAGCCGTTCGGTATACAAGGAAGGTAATGTGGCTAGCACTACGCTTCACCGCCTATTATTACCTCAGGATTGTGAATCCCAAGTACTCATTGAAGGCTGAGTCGACCTAGGTACCCAAACTATATTAAAAATAGTCGGCTGATGAAATGCCGGGTGTAGGATTCGAACCCACTATCTTGAGATTGGTAGACGAGAACCTGTATCTCTACGCCACCGGGCACCTTATTCGAAAAGGCTTCCAAATACTAAATGCTGATTTCAGCTATTTAAAAGTTGAAAAACTCAAAAAGGATGCATTTCCGCAGAAAAAAAATTGTAACATATGTACTATTTGAAAAAGCTTCCAAATACTAAATAGTCTTTAGTACTTGGTGGTACTTAGGTTTAACCAGAATTGCCAAAAACTAAAAAATAGTTTAAAAAGGAAGTTACCACCCAAGAATCGATATACTAAACCGCTCAGTGGATCAAAATTAAGTCCTACAATTCTAACAAATCAATTGTACGAGTTCCCCTGTATATATGGGTAATGGGTTTCAGGGACATCATGTATGTATATATGTATGACGCCAAGATATATATTCGCTTGTAAATGTACAATATGTGTCTAACAGCGAGCGCACGACTTAAATTTAAAATTGAAATGACGATTTTTGCGAGTCCCGAGGCCTCTTTTGGGATCAGCTGATTATTTACTGGGACGGAGTCATTCACCTCACCTTTGCACGTACTCCAATGTGGGTTTTCTTATTATAAGTCGCGAATTGCTTGAATCCACGACTAGTACAGCAGTGAATTGCCAATAGTTTCGTTTTTGTTCAAATCGGTAGCAATAGTTATAACATAAACAACGTTTTCTATACAGCTACAGAAAACAAACCCATACTAAACACCATAGAAAACTTTTAAAAGACCTTAAGCCACCTACTATTATAGGTGCCTCAATAATAATTACTTAATATATAAAAATCAGAAGTGGTCGGAAAAAGCTATGAATCTGGCATCGCTGCACCGCATGTTTACGATATCGTTGGTATACAGATAGTCTTATTAGTGGATCTCTTGAACAAATTAAAAAATATTCCATTTCAAATATAATAATTATTGTCCTTTAAATAATTGTATTAATTAATATAATTTAAAACTGATTTGGACAAAACAAGTATGCTATGCTTTTTAATAATAAAATTATACAGAATGAGTCTTAAATAAGTGTATGTATTTTTAAGTGCAGTATATTTCGATCCCAGAAACAGCAGGACTTTTTTGAAAAGTGTTTATGATTTTTTTTTAGTTTTTAGTTAAACACATAATTTCTTGATAATATGAC